TTTTAAAAAAATAGATCAGATATGAATTTATAAAATTTAAGCAGGCAAATTTGCTTGCTAAAACTGGATGGTTTAAGAGATAGAAAATAATTATTTGGTAGTTGTGGTGAAAAATTATTTAATATTTGTAATGGAAAATGCATTGGTGGTTGTGGTAGTATCTGTGATAGCATTTGTAGTGGCATTTGTAAAACTACTTGTGAAAATATTTGTAAAGGCACTTAAAAAGATATTTGTAAAGGCATTTGTATGTGTGAAGATGTTTGTAGAGGTACTTGCAAAGATGCTTGTAAAGGCACTTGGGAAAGTATTTGTGAAGGTGCTTGCAATGATACTTGAGAAGGTACTTGTAAAGGCACTTGGGAAAGTATTTGTGAAGGTGTTTGCAATGATACTTGAGAAGGTACTTGCAAAAATAATTGTGAAGATAGTTGTAGAGATAATTGTGATGATGACTGTAAAGGTGCTTGTAAAGGTGCATGTAAAGATATTTGTGAAGGTACTTGTAATAGTGATTGTGATTGTAGTTGTGGCGAAGAATTAGTTAGTAATTATAAACTATTACTATTAAATGATAATTGATTTGATTTAGATTTTTCTCTTGTTTTAGGTGGAGGCGCAAATATTATATGATTTGGTGGCATGTTAATATCTGTAAATCCATTTAACTATTTAAAATAATATAATATTAATATAGTTATATATTATTTAATAAATTCAGTATATATAAAAATATAATCTTATATACAATTGCTCGAGCCCATATTGTATAGTGTATACCCATTAATTTGATATGACTAGTTTCAGTAACCCAACAAGAACTTGCACAACTAGTACAAAAATATTTTTCTCGAATTTGAGTAATAGTAGATGCTACAATACGTTTATTATCGTTAAGATGAGACTTTTTAGGTTTTTTACTAAATAATCATGGCTTTTTTTATTCAAATCATCATCACTATTAGGTCCTTCAGATTTCTAAAATAATAAAATAATTTAAAAATTAATAAATTTATAAATTAATAAATTAAATTAATAAATTATAAAAATTAATATACCGATCTATATAATCATTTTTTTGAGCTATTTAAATTGAATATTAATAAATACTTGTAGTTTGATTATAATTTTCAATAAAACTTATAAAATTATTTTCACTAATAATTTGTATTCCTGCCCCAGTTTCTTTAGTAATTTTATATGCCAATATATAATTGTTTTGGGTAATAGTAGTATTATTTAGTTGAAGTTGAATATGAGAAAGAATTTAATAATGAAATTCACCACAAGAATCTGCTAAGATATTTAGTCATTTTGCAGATAATATAACATTATCTTGATCTTTAATACATAACTTAATAAAAAATTCTTAGCTTTCATATTTATCATTTTTGTTATTTAACTCATTCTGCTGTCTATTAGAATTATAAAAATCATTTTCCAAATCCATTTTAACATCTTCTAATTCGGAAATATCAGTATCCAAAGCAGTATGATCATAAATAAGCTCGTTAAACTCAAATAGATTGGTAGCATCCTTATTTGTATTGAAAGTTGTATAATTATTAGTAAGTTTGTTGGTCTCAGATAGATTAGTAATATACTCATTTGTATCAGAAGTTGCATGATCTTCAACAAGTTTGTTAGTCTCAGATTGGTATTAGCATGTTTAGCAAAACTAGTAGATTTAGTCGAATTTGACTTTGTAGATTTGGCTTTGACAATGTGATACCATTTGCTATTGCATGATGAGCAAAATGAAAATTTAAAATCTTCAGAAAATTCTATATCATAATTATATTTCTCTTTTGTTTCTTCCAAAACTTTAATTTGTTGATCATTAAATGTTGTTTTATAATGAATTTTAAAAGCATATGGAACCAATTTGGTGCAATTTTATGTTGTAGGTATTATGTTTTTATTATATTTGCATGAAATTTTTGAAGAATCTTGTTTGCAATAAAGGCACTTTGTGCATTAATAGCAAGTACCTATGAGGTATTCAACACTATCTATAATAATTTTATCAAAATAAAAAAGAAAATCTATTTTTTTTATTAGTTTTTTCTATATAAATTATACAATTGCCTACAATCACATACAATTATACACAATTACAAACAATCATATACAATCAAATACAATCGAACAATCGCATGTGCAGTGATCAACAAATTCGATCAAAATATACATCATTTTGCAAACTGCGATAAATATTTACTAATATTAAGCCCTAAAGTTTTTTTTTGCAAATCTCAATTGTTATTAAATCTCACTTTAATCTGACTTCTTTCTTCTATTTAATTTTCAATATTTCAGAAATTTACTAACTTTTTCAATTAAAATAACTCGATTTTTTTTAATTTATCACTGTTTTCAAATTGATGTAACTTTTGATAAAATTAGTACTGTCCGATTGCAATCAATCGTACGTTGGGTGTTAAATAAATTAATTAATCAAAACATAGTTAGGGTCATTAAGTTCAGATTTTTTAAAAGGTTATTTCACATATAAATTTATATATGAATTTGTACTAATTTAGGTATATTTTTCTACACAACTAACAGACAAAATTGAACCATATTTTTTTTAAAACTGTAGTTCTAGACTAGCTCTACACTGTAACAGAACCAGTTTTTTAATAACCTATATTGATTATTAATAAAAATTAATTCAAAATTTTATTAAAAGTTATTAAAAACCTGAGTCAGTTACAGTGTAGAGCTAGTCTAAAACTACAGTTTTAAAAAAAAATATATATACAATTTTGCTTGTTAGTTGTGTAGAAAAATGTACAAATTTATATGTGAAATAACTCTTTAAAAAAATCCAAATTAATGGTCATCATATATGACCCTAACTAAGTTTTGATTAATTAGTTTATAAGGTAGCTGCGCGATACCATACTATCGCACTAAAGCCAGGAACATAATTGTGGCTAATAGTTTGCTTTACAAAATTTTAAATCAATCTTGTATTTTATAATTATTTATTTTTTTCTCTTGAATTTAAAGGTGTTTATACTATGGGTTTTAAGTTATAGTAATTATTATAGATTTTGAATTAGCCAGGCTAAGCTGGATATTTTGAGTCAAGTTCTAGCTGAACAAATATCCAAATCTAGCTCATATTTGGTCAAACAAATTTAGGCTCAGTATTACTTACTTGATTTTTATTTTTACTTAAATAATATTCAGTTTCAATATTATTAGTTTTTTGACCTGAACTGAATATTTTGATATATCTATTTTATATGAATCTGAAACCAGACCTGCATAAATATTTATATTGGTATAGATTCTTTATGAATAGCCCAAACCATGTAAAACCCTAATTAGAGGTTTAATTTTGGTAATTTTAAAGTAGTCATACTGTATAATGGGCAATTGAATATTAAAAAAGTATCAGCTGCTATGTGGCTGATACATCTGTTATACTTTTCAACCAGATTAAACTACTATCCAAAAAATTTCAGATTATGTAATATACATAATTCACATATACAAAATCTTTTTTTTTTTAATGTTAATAGTGAGACCTTGCTCTTATCTTTATTAAATTTTACAAAAACTAAAAAAAATCTTAATATTTAATCCTAATACTAAGAATAAAATTTAGATATATCTAAGTAAACCTAAATACTTACCTGTAGCCTAAACCAACCAGAGTGGCAAGGCTCATCTAGATTTTACATATGTGCAAAATCTATAGACAGTGCAATCACATAATATTATATAAAATCTATCTACCTTAACTGCTAACCAACTAAACACAACTAGTATAGCAGAAGTTCGTTTTGATTGGCTGTTAATCTATCTCAAATTGTATAAATAAAACATCGATTATATCTCAGATCATGTACCATGAATCATTTTTGATTGGTTAATTTATTTATTATTGCTAAATAACTGCCGGCAAACTTCAAACCTTTATGCATACTTAAACAAGTTTCTTTTGAACAAAGTAGAATTTAATATTAACTCTAATAAAACTAAAAATTTAAGATCTCTATATATTTATAAAAAAAAAACTGTATAATGACAAAAGACAATGCTGTGTTAGAACTTTAAATTTGAGGTATTAATCTGTTTGTTCATTATTCTTAAATATTTGAGTCATAAAAATAAAAGTTAATCTAGTAAAACACAAATATATAATTATTTTAATTAAAACAATATTCTAATATTTGTTTTTTTAAACTTTCTAAATCTATCCTAGATCTGAGTTGTAAGATAGATAATGTCTTATGCAAAATATTTCCAGTATGAAAGTCTATGCTTTGCATTAAGAAATTTAACTACTATATAAGCATGAAATAATGCTTATGGAAAATTGGGTCCTTTGAAAAAAAAACTTATATAGTCTTTAATTAGTGCTCTCATAAACATCTTGAATTAATCTATATATAGCACATAATATAATCAATATAAGCACTTTTACTCAGAACATGTATTGATGGAAAATTGACTGTATTAAATTTAGAAAATCTTCTCTTATTTTGAAATAATATATATTGGAGTATTCAAATATACAGGTTAATTAATTAGCATGCAGATGGGCAATATTTTGTGCTTATGCAGTAAGAATGTTTTTAAGTATCCACTTTATTGTTTTTTTTAAATGCTGATTATTCAAAACTTAAAACTTATTAAAATAGTATTTTCAAGTAGACCTTTAATATAATTAGCTAGTGGTCAAGATATTACTCAAATAATTTTTAATTAAAAGGTCACTCAAGTATTACTTTTATATTTTTTTATATATCAAATATAATAAACAATTAATTTTTAATGAATTCTAACTAGTATAAAAAAATAGCTACTTTATTTAGTTTATTATTCAAAGCTTTCAAAACAAACAATTGATATCTTAATACAAATGTAATAGATACGATCTATCTTTTAACTTTAATGAATACTGTTATTCTATTTTTTGCTTATTTAATTTAAAATTAAGCCTAAAACTAAAAAGCTTGGGTATATGTTTTTTTATATTTGACAGATAGTAAAGAATTTAAATTATTAAAATCATTAAAAGGAGGAGCTGATGTAACTAAAGTCGAAACTTTAATATTTAATCGGCAGTATAGTGAACATTATAGAAAACAAAAAAAGCATACTTAGCATTTGATTCTATAAATATTATTATCAATTGTGATGCTTTGAGTATTATCATAATTATTTTCTAATCAATTAATTTAAACACTTAAGAATAGTCTAATTAAACATCTGTCTCTGATTTATTAAGAACATGCATTTGAATATTTTCAATGATCTGCACAGATGAATTACATTCATGGAATGTTGGATATTGGATATTGTTATCAAGATAGATTTGGAATTGAAAAGGACTGAAAGTTGGCATTTGAATATTTTAAAAGGTTTGCAAAAATGGATCATATTAGAGGAACTTCACAAGTTGGTAACTTTATCGAAATGAAATCAGTATGCTAAAAGATATACAATGAGCCAATTATTGGTATCGAAAAAAAAGAGGTGTAAATAGAATAAATAAATTATTATATGAAAACTGATAATAATTTGAAAAAAATATTAGATAATAAAAAGTATCAATTATTATAGATTCCTCATAATGAATTTACAAATATAAAAGAGATAGTAAGTAGTGGATTTGCAACCATTTATTATGTGTATTGGCCTGATAAAAATAGAGATTTTGGAATAGACATTGCGTTTAAATTGATTCAAAATTCAGATATGTATATTAAGAATTTGTTGACAAGGTAATACTAATGTTAATCAGAATTTGTTAATTATATAATGTTAATTTTATATTTTTATAAATGCTTTATTATTTTTAGCATTACTGTGCTATAAACAACATTGATTATTCATAGAGTCTGTAAAGGAAAAGTTTTATTATTTGTTAGGATGTTGCATATAACAATAATAGAACTTACATATTATAATTAGCAGTATCTTAGATTAATTTATTCAAATAATTATATAAATGAATAAATAAATATATAAGCAAATAAATAAATGTATAAAGAATAAATAATAAATATATAAGCAAATAAATAAATATATATATAAAGAATAAACAAATAAATATATAAGCAAATAAATATAAAATAAATATATAAGTTATATAAGTGATTAAACAAATATATAAATGCTTAAATAAAAATAAGTAAAATTTTAAAAATTTTTTTATTGATTAAATTAATTTTTTAATAATTTTTTAAAATGTCTCAAGAACAAAACAAAGGTCCTTGTCAAGTTACAGATTGTAATAATGATAATGTTACTCATTATCATAAATTTACTGCAAAAGCAATGAAAAAATCAATTAAAAAAAATATATTTAATCAGTATAATTATTTAAAAGAAGATGATCAATATCAATTATGTTATATACATTATATAAAAATTGTTGAGCTAATCAAAATAAGAAAAAAAAATTAGCTGAATTTATTACTAATAAAAAAATTTATAAAGTTTATACACTTTCAGAGGTTATTAATAATAAGTGAAAAGATATTACAATTAATATTTTAAATAATAAAGTTATTTTAAATAAAGATGATTTTATAAAATTAATTAATTAATTAGAAATATTTTAAGCAGAAATTAATTAAAAATTAAATAACAAAGTAGATTTAAATACTTTAACACCAAGTAAATTTTTTTTAATTATTATCCCTTAATTGGTAAAGATTTGCAGGCAAATTTGCTTGCATAATTACTATAAATATGTCTCTGATCTACTTTTTTAATTATTTAAAATATTT